CAGGGCCAAAGAAAAGGGAAAAACCACAGTCCAGGGAACTTCTCTGCCTCAGCTAGCTAAACTAACTAAAGCAAAGGAGAGCTCTGTCCTGCTGTCTGTCCATCCACAGACAGCACAGTCCAGGAGCAGGAATGTGGAGGAGTGAGTGCAGTGTCTGAAAACAAACTGAGCTTCTTCTCTCCCCCCTTCACTCTCTGCAACAAGTCCTTGTGAAAAACGCCAATCACTTGTTTTTAAATTTTAAAAGTTTAATAGTAATAAAATGGTTATAAAAAGAGTAATACAATTAGGGTAATAATAATTTGGACAATATGAATTACAACAATAGAAACAAAGAGTTATGGATGTCTGGGTACCTTTTTCTGGGGCAGCACAAGCCCGAAAAAGGACACCCATTAACAGAGATTAACCCTTAAAAACAATAACCTGTTGCATATTCATACACCTCATACATGATGCATGAATTCCATTCAAACACAGGATTCTGTCTGGTCAGTGTCAGCTTCTTCCTCTGAATCCTGATGGCGCCCTCGAGGCAGGAAGAAGTTCATTTCTTCTGATAATAGAGCAATAAATTCTCTTTCTCTGAAAGATTCAGATGTCATGTGGCTGCTATGTTGCTGTGAGTCCTTTCTTTAAAAAAAAGTCTCCTACATAGCATAGTTTCTATTTTAACATTTTTTATAACCTAAAACTATATTTAACACAGTACTTAAGAGAATTAATACAGCATTACTTTCTAACACAACACATATAATATTCATTTTAATATTTGCGAAAAGCCAGTCATAAAATACACATTTTTCACATCCTAAAGGTAAAAACTTCTTATTCAGCATAAACAGAACAGACAATTGGGGATAAAAGCATCATGTAGTCAAGCCAGGACAGTGTGTCAGAGTGAGCATCATCCAGTTTGGGTGCATTGAGGGCTGGTAGCAGCTGGAGCCCAGCACAGGGAATGCTTGCGGATGCTGCTATGGGAGCAGCAAGCCCAGCATGGATTTTGAGCTGGGCTTGTCCCCACAGCTCATTCCATGACCCCAGCAGGAGAGATGGGAACTTCCAGGGGTGAGCTGGGTTTGAGCAGCTGTGCTGGAGTCAAGTGACTTTTGACAAGGCCTGTGCCACAAACCATTGACAAACAGTTGGTGAATTTTTCATGCCTTGGGGAAATACCTTCCATTGATATCTTTCATTGGGTTCAGCCTGATTTGTGGAAGGCACAGTAAAAGCAAATTTTTCTTTGTCTTGCTCAGCCAATGGAATAGTGAAGAAACAATCATTCAAATCAATGAAAACTATTTGCTATTCCTGTGGAATCACTGTAGGTGTAGGAAGGCCTGGTTGTAAAGCTCCCATTGTTTCCATTACAGCATTTATCTGCTGTAAATCTTGTAAAAGTCTCCATTTTCCCGATTTCTTTTTCATTACAAAAACAGAGATATTCCAGGGGCTGAATGATTCCTCAATATGTCCCACTTGCAAATGTTCTGTGACTAATTCTTGCAGGGCAGTAAGGTGCAAGCATATCTGCGTTAATTACACGTATTAATTGCATTAGCTCTGAGGAATTAGTACCAAACTGAGCCCCTTTCCATTGGAAATCTTGCAGAACCTTCCAGGCAAAGATGTGATGACTATCATCCGTGAGCACACGGTTTGAACAAAATTCTCCCCATGGAAGGTGATGCAGCCTTTCATTAAGTAGTCACCAGTTTGGGCGCTCAAAATTCAAAACTAATTGTCATTTCACTTTTCCTGTAGTCCTAAATCAAACAGGGATTTTTCAGCAGCATGGGAACAAACCTTGCTTTCCACCTTCCTATTTGTTTTAATACAAGTGGAAGACAAAAAACTTCTAAATTTGATATTTTCATCAAGTGTTGGATTATTTCAGTTAAGGCTTATTTCTGTTCAGAATTGATATATTTGCAATATATTCCGTGCTGCTGGGTAGGGTTGTGTTGAAGCCAAAGGCAGTGAAAGATGATCAAATAATTCTCCCAGTGTATCTTTAGGCATAGAATTCAGCTTTTTGTGAGTTCATAACTGCCTGAAGTTTGCTGTATTTTACAGCATAGATGAGAAGCTGGTCTTGCAGAAATGATTAGAAACTTAGTACAAAGTACCACACAAAGAGCACTAAAAAGAAGATAATTCATCACCTCAGCAGCTCCTGCCCTATACAGCCACAACTCAAGCCATCCATTGTTGCCAAATTTGACTGAATGAAGTCCCTTTAAACAATTTCTGATTTAAAGGCCTAAGAACAGTAATTTGATTGTCTCAAACAACTCTTAATGCCTTAAAAATGGAAAAAGACCTGCATATTTCCTTCTGAAATGTAATTACTCTCAGGCACAAGTCACGTTTCGTGTCTGACCAGTGGTTATAAGGAAGCAATGATGCCTTACAGGGGTTTGCAGCATTTCTATAATCCCAGGCAGTATTTTTGTGCCATGTTTTTGGTGTGAGGGCTCTTCTTGCAGGAGGAATGAAGCTATTTGTTACCACATTTTTTCCCTTATGCCATGAAAAATAAATGTCATTATTATATATCATGATTTCACGCTTGTCTCAGAATAATGTAGAGTTTTATTTAATAGAATGCAGAATTTTCACAGTTAAGAGGTTTGAAAATAAAATACTACATGGTTTCTAGCCTGCAACTTAGTATCCCAGGAATCTGCTGAAATCTCTTTTTTTCGGATGTATGCTGCCAATGGATGGTTTGCTGTGTGTTTCACTGAGGCTTTTCTTTTCTTGGGAAAATAATGACACTAGCACATTGATAAATGAATTTCATTTAGATTTCAGGTAAGGAGAGTGATGCCTGCAGTTGTGCCTTCATGGATATAGCAGATAAAGGAAAAGTGTGAGATTGGTGGCATTGTAGACAGCAATCCCTGCTCCCATAATTTAATGATAAGCTGAATATATGTAAGGTACCATGCATAGGGAGGAAACTTAAACACCTCTTTTTATGTTTTGCAATATTTCTATTGAGTTTTTAGTATGATAAAAACAATGTTTTGGTTTCCTTTAGAAATAAACATATAGAGGTGATGTGGCAAACAAAAACCTCCTTTAACAGTGTGCAGTTGTGACAGTGTTCACAGGGGTCCAAGGATGAGGGAAGAGATGAGGATCTGACTCCATGTTTCAGAAGGCAGATTTATTATCTTATGAAATATATTATATTAAAACTATACTAAAAGAATAGAAGAAAGGATTTCATCAGAAGGCTGGCTAAGAATAGAAAAGGAAAGAATGATCACAAAGGTTTGTGTCTCTGACAGAGAGTCCGAGCCAGCTGACCGTGATTGGCCATTAATTAGAAACAACCACATGAGACCATCACAGATGCACCTGCTGCATTCCACAGCAGCAGATAACCATTGGTTACATTTTGTTCCTGAGGCCTCCCAGCTTCTCAGGAGGAAAAATCCTAAGGAAAGGATTTTTCATAAAAGATGTCTGTGACACGCAGTAGCACACAACAAACCACAGTTTAGGTTGTGTCAAGATTCCTATCCTGGATCTAATTTTCAGAATTGTTGTCAGCTGCTTCAGTCTGACAGTTGGCAAGGTGTTTCCCTGCCAAGAATGTACTGTCACCTCTTTCAAGTGGAGTGTATCTGCTTCCTTAATTTCTGGGATTTTATAAGCCCTTCCAAGCTATTAGCTGCTGCAATCCCAGCGTGAGTGCTGAAGGGATTTTTTGCAGCATGTGTGTGCAAAATGCTGCTGCTGGCTGTCCGGTGACATGTGCTGTGTTACCATTGTAGTTAAAGCACACTTTGTGCTAAAAGGGATTGTAATGCAATCCTAGCAGGAGTCAGCTGCCCAGGGAGCTGTCCCAGGGATGGCACAGTGCAGGCTTTGCTGCAGAACCTTGCCAGGCTGTGCTAATCTGCAGCTGTGTATCGTGGGGCTGATCTCTGGGTGATTTGGGGCTGTGCTGCAGAGCAGGGAATCACACAGCCACGTTGCCATGAATGGAGAGGAGGATTAGACCAAACCCCATTATCTGGGCAGGCCTCGGGAGGAATGGAGTGACAGATCTGCCTCGCCTGGAGCTGCGTGCCACCCAGAGGAGTGCAAGGATGATTTATGTCAGAGGCTTTTTGTTGGAGAGCTTCCAAAGAAAGCACTGGGAATGGTGTGGATTACTGTCTTCTGTGTCATTAAAAATAATCTGGAAAACTGATCCTTTCCTTGCCCTGGCCATGAATTCTAGCACCCCAGTCAGTAGTTTGGGTGTATAATACTTGCCATGTGCCATTTGAAATGTGTTAACTATGGAACTCCTTAAATATTATTTTTTTTCTTAGGCCACTCAGAAATGGTGTAATTAAAGGAGATAATGTTTTCCTGATTTGTTTATTTCACTTTGGCTTTGGGTCATAGTGGACATGATGTCAAGTCCTCCCCAACCACTGGCTGGTGTCCAGACATGGCCAGTGTTAATGGAGAGAGAATTTATTCACACAGCAATATTCTTTTCCTTCCTTTTGGAGTTGTACTTTGCAAGAAGTGCCTCTCAACTACCTACTCAAGAATTGTGAAACAAAACCTTCAGCTTCTGTGTGTATCCAGTTGCCTCACAATTGAGCTGAGGGATGCTTTGGAAGTGTACCCAGCTGAACTGCCCAAATGCAGTGTGAGTTCTAAAAACCACCTTACACAGCCCTGGACTGTGCTCCAGCTCTGGCCTGGAATCTGTGTGAGTCCTTGGTGGATCAGGGTCTGGCTAGTGAGAACAGACTCATCTATTTTTTTAAGAAAAACAATTGTTTGTTAAGTATTGCCTTCATTATACACAGGGTCCCTTCAATCACATTACTGCTGAAAGCTGTATTACTTCCTATTGCATTGATATTGCAGATTCCATGTAACTATTGATGCTCCTGTTCAGGACAGTGTTAGTCCTGTGATTGAGGTTTCAGGTGACTGCCATTAACCTCTGGTTCTTTCTCTCCCCTGCCCCCTTTTAGAGGCCTTTGAGTCTTTGCTTCGCTTTGCTGAGAACCGCACGAGTTCCCTGTTTGAGACAGCTTACAGACCTATGGCAAAAGAAGCAGCAGAGCCCGTTAAGGAGCTTTTTACAGACATCTCTCTCTACATTCTGGGTGCAGAGACCACGGTGGAAAGCGCAGTTCTGCGGTTCTTTGACAGCCTCTTTCCTCTGGTGTACAGCCGGCTCATAAACCCAGGAATTACAGATCTGTCAGAGGACTACACCGAGTGTCTGCGGCTCACTAGGCAAGACATCAATCCTTTTGGACGCTACTCTAAAAACATGGTGACAGAGCTGTCCAGATCTCTGTGGGCCAGCAGGATGCTGAGCCAGGCGCTGAGCCTGGGCATCGAGGTGATCAACAGCACGGAGCACGCGGCGCTGAGCAAGGAGTGCAGCCGGGCCCTGGTGAGGATGCAGTACTGCCCGCACTGCCAGGGGCTCACCCTCATCAGGCCCTGCGTGGGGTACTGCCTCAATGTCATGAGGGGCTGCCTGGCCAGCGTGGCAGAGCTGGATGCTCAGTGGAGGGAGTTCATCTCCACGCTGGAATATCTCACCAATGAAATGGCTGCCTCGCACGAGCTGGAAACGGCCCTGGCGGGCATCTGGAGCTCCATCAACGAGGCCATCCTGCACGCACAGCTCAATGGACCACAGCTCTCTGCCACAGTAAGTGCTCCCTCATTACTGGTCATTCACATTTATCAGTTCCCTCCTTCTGTGGATAGACATTTAAACAAGTTGGTGTTGTCTTTGCAGCAGTTTTTAGTGTTTAACTAGATCCGAGTCTAATAATCCATGCAGACTTTACAGAGAATTATGGTGGGGGTCAGTAGAGTCTGCTTCGAAATGAAGGGGTTGGAGGGATTTGTTTCTTTGGGGAGGAACCCAGTAAAGCAGAGAGCTTTACTTTACAATTCATAAAATTGTAAAGTATTTTATGAAAAATCCTTTCCTTAGGATGTTTCCTCCTGAGAAGCTGAGAGGCCTCAGAAACAAAATGTAAACATTGATTATCTGCTGCTGTGGAATGCAACAGGTGCATCTGTGATTGGTCTCATGTGGTTGTTTCTAATTAATGGCCAATCACAGTCAGCTGGCTTGGACACAGAGCCCAAGCCACAAACTTTTGTTACCATTCCTTTATTTTCTATTCTTAGCTAGCCTTCTGATGAAATCCTTTCTTCTATTCTTTAGTATAGTTTTAATATAATATATATCATAAAATAATAAATCAAGCCTTCTGAAACATGGAATCAGATCCTCATCTCTTCCCCAATCCAGGAACCCTTGTGAACACCATCACACTCTGCCTTGTCTGCACAGTTTTCCAAACAAAAATTGATGCTGGATATCAATCAGCTGTTATCCTGGCATGTAATTGTAGCATGTGAGGACATCCCACTGGATTTTGTATAAGGGCCTACAAAAGCAAGCTTTAAAATAAAGACAAAAGTATTGATTTTCACAATTTTGTTTTCTGAACAAAAATTGATACTGGATATCAATCAGGTGTTATCCTGGCATGTAATTGTAGCATGTGGGGACATCCCATAGGATTTGCTGTAAAGGCTTGAAAAGTGAGCTTTTAAATAAAGGCAAAAGAATTGACTTTGACAATTTTACAGTCCCTTTTACTTTTGTGTTGACTGAGACATCAGGAAGGGAGTACAGGTCTGTAATAAGCACACCTATCATACAGAAGTTGGGAAAGGAGCGTGAAAACATTCAGACTTATTTGGCAGCATCTACATAAGTAAAGGATAAAAATGCACTTGAATAGGAAACAGCTTTGTGAGTGGTGTAGATTAAGGGAAAAGAACTAGGATGGTAGAACTGTCACATAAATAATAGCAGCATATGACAGGCAGGTGTTCTCTCAAGGTGTTGGAGATTAGGCTAGAAATTACTGAAATGACTGATAATGCAGCTGCCTATGTCTGTATGAAGTTAACACAACTGTCAGTGGTAAAAATTTAGCAGTGTGGCCTTAAGTAGGGTATAAAGACTAATCTAAAAAATTCAGGTAGGTCTGCCTGTCTTTAAAGGAATTCTTGGAGAGAGCAGAGATGGAAATGCACAAATTTAAATATGTAATTTCTGTGTAGAACTTTGGTCACCACATCGTGTAAGAGAGAAGGTAGTCTAGAGATTCCACAGAAAGAAGCTGTTGCAGAGTCTAGTCTAAACAAAGGAAGGTTTTTTAATAGGAGAAAAATGCTTCTATGTTTGCAGCCTTCCAAAATCCCTAATATTGCAGCTCCCTTCACTGTAGAACACCTCACAGAGCCATACCTAGAGTCAGTATACCACATAAATTATAAAAAACCCCAACTACTTGCTGTAATCTGATAGAATTTCATATTGCCTCAGTTTCCCTTTCCTTTTCATGAATGGCAAACTTGCTAATTTATCTGACATTCAGAGATTAACATGGAAAACCTTTATGAAATTTTTCCAGGTTCTTGGGTAGGATAGTGGGCACTGGAGCCTGCAGGTGCTGCAGGTCTGCATTGTGCTAAAGTCTGTTGGTGGTGTCACAAAGTTCCCCATGGAGGAGTGTTAAATTTAGAACATGTTGGGTACAACGTTCCTGCCTCTGCCCCTGTTTTCACTCTGGAATTGTTTTTAAATGAGTCTAGAAGGGAACCAGAAATCAAAATACACCATTACTGTTTTTATCTGACTATAGATGAATACCTCTAAAATCATTGTAGAGCTTCATTGCTGATTTCATGGACAGAATGCTAAAACACAACTCTGCATTGCCTTTATCAGCCTCATAATTAATGTGCTTTTGCTAAGCTTACTGGGGTACAATTCATGGTCCAGGTGAATATTGGATAATCATGGGTGAACTCAATGAGTGTATTGCTTTTAGGTGATTTGGAAGTAGCATTCTCTCTCAAGTGTCTTTCAAGCTCCAGACTCTCTTTAAAGATTATTCAAATAATTTTATTTGGGGCCTTCTTAGTTCCCTAGAAATACCTTTAAACATTTGCCTTCTTCCGTTTGGAGTAAGTTCAGAGAATGCAGCTGTGTTTGAAATTCCATTAATTCTTTTTCCCCTGAAGTTATCTTTGCTTTCGGTCACTGGCAGAACCTCCATGTGCAGAAGAAGGTGCTGTTGTGTGCTGTTCTAGGGGCTGCTCAGTAGGATGGCAAAGGATGTTTGAAAATAAAAGCTATGCCTCAGTGTGTTACCCTCAATCCTTTCAGATGCCTGCAGAGTAAGATGATATTTAGAAGATAAAGCATGTTTCACTATTTGAACAAGCATTCATCTGATACTGGTTTAAAATTTTCCTGATTAGTTGCAGAGGATAACCATTATTTAGAAAATTGAGCCTAATTAGGCTTTATTTTCTCCTCTGAAGCAGCGGAAAGGAGTTCAGTGCTCAGGTCCAGGATTTCCTGCTGGAGATGGCTTCTGGGAATCCAGGCTGTGATTCTCAATTACACTGGGGCCATTTGATGTGTACCCAGTGTTTTAGTCATGGTTTTACTTTCAGGATTCTTTGTTTTCCCCAGAAAAGTTTCATTCTCTTTGCCTTTCCTAAGTGTTTGGGGACCTTTTTTTGCTTGTGCACTTTACTCCCCAGCTTCTGCAAAAGTGGAAATGTTCAGCTTAGGTAGTTTCCATTACAAATGCAGTAATTGGTTTCATTTGATTATAATGGAAAACTCATCCAGGAAAGCAGAGCACTCCTAGTGATCTTCATTTATCCCGAGGCAGCCTTAATTAATGTGCCTGCCCTTTTAGGAAACATTTTACATTTTTAATAGACAATATGGCTAAAAATTAGGGTTCTTTTTTTCTGTTGTTGCCTGCGTGGATGGTAATGAATAATGGAAAGTTAGATTATGTTTTCTTTAAAATGGGGAAGGGCTGAAATAAACCAATAAAGCACTTAGGATACTTTGCTCAAATGAGGTGCAGTCAATTGATATTAAATCTAAAACTAAAAATCCTATTTGTATGAGGCGTGCACAACTTCAGGAGAGTGGCCTCTGCTGATCTTGTCCATTAAAGCCAAGAGAATTGCCTGATTTGCTGGGATAGCAAGTGTGAGAGGTCACCTTTAAGATATTGGTAATCTCTGCTCAGATTCCTGGGGATGTGCCATGCCATTTGTTCAATGATGCTGGCTTGCATCCAGCTTACTTAGCCTAATGCAGGCCAGCCCGGGTCTGCAGCACCAGCAATCAGCATCATTGCTTTCATCTGCTCAATCTAATTGTCCTTCCTCCTGCCAGCAGCCCTGGCTGCCTCGTGGTGCCAGCCACACACACCAACTTGCCTTACCCTTAGCATCTTCCGCTTTGTTTGTTTCTTTTTCTGCCTTTGTGTTTTAAAGCTGGTCTCCTTTTTCATGTGTTCAGTTTCTGTATTGCTGTATGAGCTCTGTATTTACACATCATTGCTGATGTTAATTTTGTTTTTTATTCAGAGTGAAAGTAAACTGCTCTCTAGTGAAATAAAGAGAGGAGGGGGAGGAGAGGCAGTTCTGAAGTGCTTGTGGTGCAGGTGTATCAGCAGGTGGGGTAACAAACAGTGCCCACACCCCTGGCGCCACATCCCACTGAGCTGTTCCATGGTCCTGCAGGGCCAGCAGGGACTGCAGTCCTATTCCAGCAGGAGTGTCTGTGGTGGAAACATAGTGAGGATTTCTGTTGGATCACAAATGGCTGGAATCTGACCAGTCCCTCCAGCTCCAGGTCTGTGCGCTTCACTCTGGGCCTCCAGTGAGGCTTGGCCATCCTGTCCCCACAGTGCCACTACACCCATGACTACAAGGGATGGCTTTCCTGCTGGACCAGTGGGCGCTCAGGAGTTGCTGCCCTGCCCAGGCACAGATTTCCTCTGATTTTCTTTGATTTCCTCTGATTTCCTTTTCCTTTCCCCTTCCCTTTCCCCTTCCCTCTTCCCTTCCCTTCCCTTCCCTTCCCTTCCCTTCCCTTCCCTTCCCTTCCCTTCCCTTCCCTTCCCTTCCCTTCCCTTGATTTTCCATTCCATTCTCCTTTCCTTCAGATTTCCTTTGCCAGTTCATGGCTCCAGAGGTTCCCCTCTCCTGTCCCTGGATCAGAATCCTTTTGCCTGTGGTGGGAGTGCAAAGGGATGGGAAATGCAAAGTGGGGTGTGCTAGCAGAATATTTGGAATGTGGGAAGGCACATCTGGTAATTCTCTGTGTTCTAGCTGCAAGGAGTTCATAAACATAAAGTATTTATCTTGTTGCTAATGTTCTAATGGCTGAGAAAGCATTAAATGAGGAGAATGTAAAAAGCCACAGACCTGCTGTTTTTAGGATGGATAACTGTTAGGCAAGAGCAAAGTCCAGCATATTGTGTTTTGTGGTTTTAGCAGTAATAAAAGCAAAAGCTAATAAAAGGCTTGATAGGGATTATAAAACCAAGATATGATCCGAGATTAAGCACTAGGAGAAAGCAGAAGGATGTGCCTCAAGGCAGTTAATTTCTTGGAGACAAGCTCAGCAATTAATGTGATAACAGTGATATAAAAAGTGATAGAAGAATAAACTTTGGGAGGAGGAGCAGCTAGAGGCAGGAAAAATACAGAAAAGGATGTTTAAGATGCAAGATGCATGGAATTGCAAGAGTGTCAGGAAGCACAGAAATAATGATTGTGATCCAAATTGGATCAAAATCA